GGGAAGCCTCCACTCACTGGACACCTGGGATACAAATACTACCTAACATAGGGAGGTGCAATTGTGAATATAGCCAACTGCACCAAAACCCCTAAGAAGGCTTGTTCTTGTCCACAAATTTCTGCACACACTTGTCTTATTTCTCACCTTCACTTTTCCATTTCAGATCATGAAAACCCTGCACAGACTTGAGATGTCAAGCATGCATCATAAGACTTTCCACAGGCTTCTGTGCTTTTGCCAGGCCCTTCATTGTGGTCAAATTGTGGCTGAGGTGGTCAAAAACTTGGAAAGAAGGGCCTCAGAATAAGATAGAGTAAGCTGAAAAGAAGCAGAAAAACTTTTTCAGCTAGAGATCTAAACAAGTTGGGTCTGTCTCTTTTAATGTAGATTTTGAGCTCTTTAGCCTCTTATAAGCTATCAGTGCTGCTAGTCCAAGCCTGAAGAAAGCTTTGGGTTTGCCTACTAAGTTTTTCAGAAGCTGACAGAAAACAAGCTAGTGGTTGCTACAATGACTCTTCTAAAGCCTTTCCTTAGGGACAAAGCCAATCCTTCAGGCAATGCGTACTGCCAAAGCTTCTGACATCTTGTAAAGAAGACTTTGACAAGCTGTATGGACCTCAGGGGAAAAAAAAGAATAGGTGGTTTAACAATTTGATCTGATGGTGGGAAAAAAAGCTTTGGCTTGAGGCGTTGCTTCTGAAGAACAGCTTGGTTCATTTCTGAGATGTATAGTGGGAAAGTCTCTATAGGGATATATCAGTGGAACTGACATCAGGTTTTCCTCATGGATCTCTCTGGTGAAGATAATTTGGCTCTGGAGAGCATGTGAGAGTAGAGCTTCTCAGACTGAGACATGCACCAAGTTACCCAGTACCATGGACAAGGAACCACCATGAGAATGAGATGGTGGCCAGGACAGAAAATACCAAGAAACAGTTCCTCCTGTTTCCTGCATCTAACATGATTCCTCTGCCTAAAATCCCAATATGAGGATGTTGTGGTTTAACCACACTGGGTGCCAAAATGACTGAGGTGGTTTAACCCAGCAGGCAGCTAAACACCACACAGCCGTTTGCTCACTCCCCACCCCCCGCAATGGGATGGGGGAGAGAATCGGGGAAAAAACAGTAAAATTCATGGGCTGAGATAAAGACAGTTTAATAGGACAGAAAAGGAAGGGAAAATAATAATAATAATAATAATAATAATAATAATAATGATGATGATGATAAAAGAATATACAAAATAGGTGATGCACAATGCAATTGCTTACCACCCACCAACTGATGCCCAGCCAGTCCCCGAGCAGCGGTTACCATCCCCCCAGCCAACTCCCCCAGTTTTATATGCTGAGCATGATGTCATATGGTATGGAATATCCCTTTGGCCAGTTTGGGTCAGCTGTCCTGGCTGTGCCCCCTCCCAGCTTCTGGCTGGCAGGGCATGAGGAGCTGAAAAGTCCTTGCCTGGTGTAAGCACTACTTAGCAACAACTAAAACATCGGTGTGTTACCAACATTGTTCTCATGCTCAATCCAAAACACAGCACTCTACCAGCTACTAGGACGAAAATTAACTCTATCCCAGCTGAAACCAGGACAGAGGAATATGAGTCACACAACTCTGATTTATATATTTGCTTGACTTCCCACTGTTAACATGCAAGGCTGGGAAGGAGCATAATGAGAAAAAGCTCAGATAACCTTTGAGAGAGCTAGTTCAAGAAACAGAGATTTCTTATCAACGCTGCAGAAGATCCCAATATCGAAATGATGAGCACTGAAGTAGAAATCTTTGCGGAGAGAATGAACTCCACTTGAAAGGTAAAGTTAAATCTCTGCTGCTATAAACTTTATAATGAATAGTGATACCAAGTATAACAAACTAGAAATTGTTGTCACTGGAGTAGGCGATTTTATCATGACTTTTACTGAGAAGACAGCAATTCAAAATGCTGGAACAGAGTGCAATGGGAATTGGAAAGAAGATGCCAGGGAAAATATTCAGGGACTGTAATGAAGAAAGCTGGTGACTGAATCATAAACGCTATCAAGCTGTCTATAAGTTAAGCCCTGAACCTTTGTTTTACTTAAAATAGGAGAAGACAAAAGACTCTTACCTACCATATTCAAGAACATCCGTGGCTTCCTTCTACATTCCTGTAAGGACTTTTAGCACAACTTCCCTCTGACATGAATACAGGTATAAAGCCCTGCACAAGAATACAGTAGAAGCTACCTAAATTGGCACTCTGATAAACAGCAAGTCTCTCTGCTGTCAAAGAACACGTTCAGTGTAGCACACTGCGATGACTCAAGCAATGAGCACATCACATCTAGTCAAATGACTGTCCTGCTGCAGTTGTTTGCAAGCCCATATCATTCATGTGTCAATTAGAAATGGCTAAAAGGCCTTTTTGCTGTTAGACTCCATGTTATTTTACATGAATCTACCATTTCTTCAGAACTAATGAGAGTTTCTTTCATTAATGTTACTTGTAATGTGTAGGCACAATGCTTACTTTCTGAGCAATTCATGACATGAAAGAGAATATCCCTCATCAGAATCTATTGCTGTTAGCATCTGAAAAGGGCACCGATCCCAAACCTTCATACTTCTGTTCCTATAGTGACTTGCCACCTAAACAGATTTCACTGCACTTCCACATTGTCTCCAGGGCTCTTCTCTTCTGTTTCCTCCTAAGAACTCCAGCTACTCAGTTTCTTTATGACAAAAAAACCACATTCTCTCTTTCATTAGAAGCTGTCAACTGGAAGACCCCACCATAAGTCTGTGGCTTCCTATGTAAAACTGAATAGTACAATTTTAAATTATATTAGCCTTGCCTAAGCGGCACTGCTGTGTGGATGAAGTACAACACATCATGTGAAGTTTGCTGAGGGATGAGCAGAGCGGCTGAGGCTTCATGCATCATTCTGCAGCCAGATATACTTCCTTCTCGCCACTGAAAATTCCCCCACTGTGCTCTGTGTGCAGATTGGCCATGTGTAAGACTTTGCAGGGATCTCCTTGCGTATGTGTGTGCAGGGTATTGTGCTCACTCACTTGTTTCTTAACACCCTAACTTCCAAGCAATTAACGTACTCACTCGCCTTTACATATTCAGAAAATGACAAGGTCATAGTATGTTTAGGAGAAAGGGCAATAACCTGAGTATTTTGATAGACTTCTTTAAAGTAGCTATTACAGTCCACAAAAGGAAATCTGTACCTTCATTTACCAAAAAAACCCCAAACAAACCCAAAACATACCCTCCCCCCCCCTTAATTTGTTCTCTTAATGAATGTAACTTGAAAATCGTTCATGGGTACGGTCTGCTGGAAGTTCTCAAGATGCCGGTTGGGTGCAATTGGCCTACTTTGGCCTACAGACCGAGCTGACTGTTCTCATTCAGGAATGAAATGCCTAGGAAAGTGTTCCAAAATCAGGAAGTTTAATGCATTAAATGTGAATTACTGCAGTTAATCAGGCTTTTCATTAGCATATGGCTAGTTTATAAACTATTCTGAAATGTAACATTTCCAAAGGATCACATAACAGAACTTCCAAATTTTTCAACATTTAACCACCACTACGTGCTTAACCTATCAGAACCAACAAACTGTGAAAACCATGAAACAGCACTGGAAAAACAGAATTTGAAAGAAGGAAGTGATTTAATCGCACCTCAGCCCTAAAGGCAATGACCATGAAGTTCAAATAGTTAAGGTTTATCCTGTAACCATGAGAACACAGGGGGACGGCTGTAAGATTAGTGGGCATTTTGACTAAACAACCTCACCTTGCAACTAGTTCACAACATGATGCATTTTTTTTTTTTTTATAAGTACTTTCCATGAAAAGGGAATGGAAAGCAATTGGAGTGGCAGGCTGTAAGACCTGCTGACTCGTTGCACAATAAAGGCTAAGCCATGAAGTGAAACCCTAGGAGCTGCTGCATCTTGAAATATCATAAAACTGAACAACTTCTATTTGGAGTAAACCTGATTGGTATTTCCCTTGAATACACAGTGCACTTGGCACCGTAATTTGTTTTAAACAATGATTGGCATCAATGCTGTTGTGGTTGCATTCATTTTCTTCAGGGGATTCACTTAAATAGCTACTAGTATTAACTGTTTGAACTTATTTGTATTCTGATAACATCCACCATATTGTTGGCACTGTCCACCCACACAAGAGAAAACTGCCCTTTTTTAAAGACTTCACAATCTGAGATCCGTTGAATGTTGCAATACTGCAAAGAAAATTTGAGTGCAGAAAAAACACATAGCATTATGATTATCAGATCAGTACCTAAATTAGGGTGCAATAAATCTTTGAAGGCCAGAAATTACTGAATCAAGATAAAAGCTCAAGATATGTTAATCAGTACATTCTAGAAAGGAAGCACAGGTCTTTGTTTTAAGACACTGAAATCTTCATTAATAAAGCTGGGGTTTCAATGATGCTGAAAGCAATTAGACAATGAGTTTCAAAGGGAGCTGCACATGTAAATTCCTGGGTCTCATTTGAAAATCCCAGCCAACAGCAGCAATCATGTTTGGTTTAAATCATCATATCATCATGGGAAACAAATCCATTAGTCTTTCATTCCAGGCAAGAATGAAGTGTGGGTGAGGGAGCAAACATGGTGGGAACATGGATATCTGCAGGTGATTTATGTGCATGTGCTGAGCTAATAAAGAAAGCAAAGTTCAGAACGACACCGACAGCAGTGAAGGCAAGCTAGATCCTGGAAGGATGACAGTGATTGTGCAGATTACGAGAAAACAATCAGAAGTGACAGCCAACCTTCATCCTCTGTGGAGGCAAGTAGCATCCAGTCTGTAAAGAATACCTTACCATCCACTTCTTTTTGCTGAAGGGATTTTTTGCAGTGGGGAAACAACACATGGTTTTCTTTGCTGTGTTCTGCAGTTTTTCAAATCCATCCTCTTTGTCTGAGTATTGGTAACACATAAATATGCTACTTACTCCCTCATGCGTTTCAGTTTGGTCTCAGCCATAGTGCTGTTGAGAGCTCTGAATCCCTGGGGCACCCCTGGAGACACTCCGGTGACAGTCCCCGAGCCTACAAATCAATGCACAGACACATAACCTTATTCACCTTCATCCCCGAGCTCTATTGCAGAGTCAAGGGCAGTCAGAAGGAGGAAGACTATTCCTGTTTCTCACAAGGTAGTGCCACATTAATTAAAGATTAATTAGATTATTAAATGCACATTAAGGGCAACTCCTTTCTGAGGGACAAGTAGATTTATAGCTTAAAGGCACCAGAATTGTAACAACAATTTTCCTTCTGCGTAGCGTACAGGAAATTACATTACAACAGAAAGCACAGTCACTTGAGGAAGTGCTGGGACAGATAAATAGTCAACAAAATGAAATTTGCTTAGACAATATGTATTTTCCTCCATTGTTCTTGTACTTATTTATAAGAGTAAGAAGCTTCTTCCTAACAGGCAAGTCTCTCCTTTAGCTTGATCGTTACTGTAAACTGAAAGTATTTAACTTATGACATCACTTTCCCCTTCAGATGAAGGTACTCTTTTTATGTGTGTGTATATATATAAAAACATATCTGTGTATGTAAATACAGATACATATATGTGAGAAATATACATATGCATATACACACATGCACACTCTCAGTTTACAGGCCTCATGGGCTGTTGCAATATTTAAGGACCCAATGTTCACAGACCGCTGCGGTACTCATCCACAGGAACACAGAAGTGCTGAACCACAGAGGACTGTCAGGGTTATCAGCTCAAATATCCTGCAATTTCATGTTGCCATTCCATCATATCACACAAGTTCCTGCTTAACTTAAGGAATTTATTTATTTATTGCCCCTACTGCTCCCATTGCAAGACAATTCCAGAGCCTCACTGTGACCTGGTAGCTAAGATCGCTCCTCTAATTTCCCAGCAAAACTTCTTTATTGGCTAGTTCCTGCTCATTTTTCTCTGGTGCCAGTCCTTTCATTGGGCTTACTCAGTTCTTCCCTTCCCTTTTGCATACTCCTTTCATTTGCTTATAATTGGGAAAAAAAGATCCTACTTCAGCTTTCAATTTGCTAAGCCAAACAAAGCAGCTATTTTAGTTTCTTCTTGCAAAATATTTGGCATTAGAATTCCACTTCCCAAAAGAGGAGAACATATACCATGGTGGAACTACATCCTGCGTAAATGTGTGGGCTGTGGCACACAGCACCCAGGTTCTGAACAGACACGGGAGGGCTCTGCCTAGGATACGAACAAGCCAAAAGTCACACAAACACCTTAGCACAATGCCTTGTCTAAATGAACACACTCTCCCCTCCTAGCAGGGGTTTTTATCTTGGACGCAGCTGGTGTTTAGTTTGGATTGCATTAACATTGATCACATACAGCCAGAGGGAGCTTGCAGCTACCTTCCTGCTATGAGCGGTATAGACACCCCCAGAGAGTACTGAATGCTTTCCTGGAATGCATAATCATGGCTTTCCCAGGAGTTAAGCTCCTCTGCCTTACATGATTCTAGATCCTGATCACATAAGGATGAATATTGAGATTAAAACTTTCTGTCATGAGGAACCCTACTGAATCGCTCACCGTAAGTGTCTGCTGGATTCAGAACTTTGCTGGATTCAGAAGACAGGAAGCAGGGATGGAGAGAGACCACAGAAGAAATGGATTTCCAACTGTTATCTGGCTATGGACAAATGATTTGACTTTTTAAAACATTTTCCTAACTTCTCTTTACACCTAATGACTAACAGTTGTCTGGTGCCTAAGTATTGCAACTGAGGTATAGTTAACATAGTTTAAAAGATGAAAAATGACAAGCTCCATTCTTACTAGCAACCAATAACTTCATCCATTGATGCCAAAAACATTTCCCGACCATTTACTGTAACACAACACATGCATATCCGTACACTTTTACATGGGGTCTGTAAGCATTCAATTACTTTAGCAGCATTGGAAAATTCACCATCCTCAGGGTGGCCCTGAGGAAACTCCAAGCACTATGCAAAGCAATGCTCATGACTTACTGGCTCCTCTTTGAGTTGGTGTAGAATTAAAGTCCAGATGTGGGGCTTTGGGCTTCAAAAGCAATAAAAAATTGACGCCCTGAGCACCAGTGGTCTAAGGCAAATATAATCTTTGCATTCTCTTAAGAAAGAGTACATTTAACCACAGGCCTCAGCTAAATCCTGGTATTACCAATATTACAGGATATATCATTGTAGTAAGAGCTCAGCATACTCTTTCCGCTTAGTGGGTTCAATCTATTTATTGCTACAATATCTCCTTCTCCTCCAACATTTCATTATTAAAGACATCCTTCTTGTTTTTTCTGGGATTTCAGGCTAAATAATTTGTACTTTGTCTACTCTCCACATTGGCAGTTGGCCAAGCAAAACTTATTCTCTACATGAAAACTAATATCTATCTTCCTCTCCATTAAATATGATTTTCTGGGTACTATGAGGCAGCTGAAAGGACTACAGATTGTAGGATGCTGCAAAGGTGTGGTTAGTCATAAAAAAAATGAGTTCTCAGTGAAAACTGGCAAGAGCTTTTCACATTGTTGCTACAAGCAGCCTCAAAAATTTTTCCTGGGGTGATTCATAACCCACACCAACTTCTATATCAGAGGTATTTTCTTAGAAGCTGTTACTTGATTAACAATATATTTTGCACCCAGCTTTGAGCAGTTTGCCTAACCATACATCAACACAGAACAAGGAACTATGCTTCTTCAAAAAGTGGCCAGATAACTATTTGCATTTTTTATGCAATATATCATTCTTGATTCATTAAATAAAATCAAATGAAACAACAAGAGCACTGACTTGTCAAAACCAGGTACTGTGGCTTTCTAAATGTATTTCAAAGACAAATACTCTCCCAGCATCTAGCCTAGTACTGCAGAGAACAACATAGGGCAAAAGGGCAAAAGATCTCTGTCCTCTCACGTCATGCAGCACCAATTTGGGGCTCTCACTGCATCCTTCTACTCTGTCGAAGGGAAGAT